TTGCTTTTTTTTTTTTTTTTAATAACAGTGGAAACTTAAAAATACGCCGTCATTTTTGCTCATAAAGGTAAGAGTATACATCATTTGGAACTGCAAAGGGTCTACTTGTATTTGTGTGCACTCACAATATCAACGAAACCTAGTGCTTTTGTAAAATAAGGAAAACAAACAGGATGCGCTTTCTGTCGTCTTGGTCTTGAGCAGGAGCACTTTACCCACATTATAAATATATCTATAGAATGCTTTAAATTACTATTTTAAAACGAAATAATTCAAATCGAAAACAAAAACTCTTTCATTAGGTAATCCATAAAGATGCATTTCTCTCTAAAGGCATGTCCAATGAGGAGACAGCAGCATTTTTGTAACAAGTTTAAAAATAACTAAATAAATAAGTCATAATATTTTAAGAATAAAGTCAAAATTACGATAATAAAATCATGTTATATTGCGTGAAGTTAATGTGAAAATTCCACCTATAGGCCTACTCCTCCAAAAAAAAAAGTATGTGGCATCCGTCATTCCTTTGATTTTTTTAAAAACTCTGATTGATTGATTCATGAGACATTCGTTTGTATTAAATTGTTCAGATTTTTTTCAACATGCATTCAAATATTCATGTTTATTTTGTGCTGCAAATATTAAATAGGAAAATATCATATGCAGCTTGAACTGAGGCGAATTATCTCACTATCTCACATTTTTAATGATCTGGAAAATTATTGCACAAATACATTTCACCATGGCATATTTTAATAATACAAAATATGTATAAATATGAATAGTTGTAATATTTTGTCAGGAATAGAAAGCAGATTGTCAAGCAGAGGGGTATGTTCCCTTTAGACCTGCATTTATAAAACAAAGAATTGACAAATTTCAGAACAATAGCATCAAGCATCATAGAACAACTAAAAATGACCAATATGGTAATTAAAAAACAAATCAACACTTACCTTTTATTTTTCTGAGGTGTGCCGGTGTTTTCTCCTGTTAAAAAATAGATGTAGAATGTAAAGGGGAATATTTTCATAAAATATATAATAATACTGTAGGTAAAACTGTACTTACTGTTGATGGTGACTCCAGTCACCCCAAACTTTTTTAGTAAGTGGGTCCTGTGCTCGGACGCAGAAAGTATATGCTTTTTTGAATTTCACCTTGTAATGTGTCTCGTTGGTTTCGTTTTTCTATTTTGAGGAATTAACATATATTTTGATGTTAATAAACAACAACAACAACAAAACATTAAAAAATATATATATATAGTCTTACCTCGACACGACTTCCTGTGTAGTCACAGCTATGATTGTTGGGAACCACTTTCACTTCATAGGAGAGGGGAAAGAAACTGCAGGGGAAACTCCATGTTTCAGGGGGGTGCCACTCAAATACATCATCTTGGATCTTGGTGATACTAACTTTATCTGGCTTGACTGAGGGTTTGAAATAACAGTTTAATCAGCAGTCTAGTACAGTGGGGCTGGGACCCACGAGGGGGCCTCAAGATGATTTAAAATGGATGCCCTGAGGCTGAGATTGATTGATTGATTGATTGATTGATTGATTGATTGATTGATTGATGAGTGAAATATTCGATTAAAACATCTGAAATCGTGAATTCCAGTGATCTAGTATCATGTAACTATTACTAACAAACGTATTTGTCAGTTCTGTTCATTTTTTTCATAAACGACTTCTTCATGCCCTTGTAAACAAGAAGTGTGATTAATTGTATGTAGGCCTACTTGCAAATAACAATATTAATTAAATAAACGTCCACATAAGTGTACTGAAGGAGAGTACACTTTCATAATTTTAACATACTTATGTGCACTTTTAAAAAATGCACTTTGCAATAATGTCAAAATATACTTTTACATTTTAAACTTTTTTTTACATTTTAAACTGTAGTGTGTTATTTAATTTTACATTTTAAATTATAACAGGTATATTTTAAATGTACTAAATTGCAGCTTCATTATTACAAATGTGTAATTACAAACCATTTACATATATGACATACAAGTTTCAATAGAAATAGGATTAAAGTATTTTATGAATTATGAAATTACAAATAAAAACGCAATTAAGGTCTACAGTTCTACTTAATGGGTAAAAAAATCCAATTTAAATTATAATTTTAAGTTGTAAATAACATGCAAGTCTCTGAAAACATTACATTCAGTACACACTTATTTATATTATTTTAATATATATTTTATCATAATATGTACTTTTTAAAAGTATATGCTAAAGTGTTTACAAGGGAATTTACACATAGGCTAATGCATTAGTTGTAATGCAGGGATGTGCATTGCATGTAGCGACCACCCGGGGGCACACAAAGCTCTTACCAATGTCTCGGATGAGGAAAGTCCTGTGGTGCTCCTCCAGCCTATACAGATTTCTGATAAACAGTGTGAGGTTGATGCTCCTAGACTCTTCAGAGTACTGACAGTAATCCGTGTCAATACAAGTCAGCCCAGATATATCCGAGTCTAGAGTGCAGTTGATGGGACTAGAGTTTCTGTACAAACACAAGGCCAGTTTAGCATTGATTTGCTGTTTTAAGATAAGCCTGAATAATTTGAATGCTTAGGCCTATGCTTCATTGATTAATCCAACCCAACTCAAAATAAAATAACGTTTGATTAATACAGAATAAGAATAATCATTAATCATTACCGGATTGCTGTGAAATATACCACAGCTCTTTGGATCCGTTCCTGATGCCATTTCCAAGAGCAATGAAATTGTCCATTATAGTTTCTTGCGGTGCAAGAAATTAATTCTAGGCAGATAAAAAGTTAAGCAGTTTTATTTCAGATCAGTGGCCACAGTGAGAAATACTGATAGCTAATACATTACATTCATGTTTATGTTACATAAACATATGTAAATTTAAAGAATTACAGGAGCAATAAGAACAACAGTAGGCCTAGGTGGCGAGTCTGCAACAACTGACTTGAATTATGAGTGAATCACTGAATTATTGGCTCATTCACAGTTCCATTAATAACTAATTAAGCAAGATAACATTGGTGAAAACTGGTGAAATAAACATATTATAACAGATATCCCCTTACTTCCCCATTAAGATCTTTAGAAAAAATATTTTGTTTAATTATGCAAATGATGCATTATCTAATTAAATATGCACACATCAATATGAACATTGTATAAAGCTATCTTCAAAATTCTTGTTACATTACGTTAACAAATTAAGGATTTTTACAAATCTCTTTTTATCACTCGATAAATCAGAAAATCCTGCTAACAGTCAGAAAAAAAAAATATATATATATATATATATAAATTAACACACCCATCAGTAAAAACTTTCAGAATATAGATAGGGATAAAACTGGGAAGTATTTTATATATATAATGGCCTATATATCCACATATATAGCCTATATATTATTTAAACTGGGCCTATATTTTAATACTTGATGCTTAGTTTAATTTTTTTTTATATATATATAGTGAATTTAAATTAAGTTAAATGATCTGCAGTAAAAAAAATCCTTAATATCCAGATGTTTTATATTTAAATTTAAGACTTAATAAACATTAATTCCAATGTAAGTGTTAACCTTCATACTTACCTCTGTCACTAGATTGTATAAGAACTCCTTTAGGAAACTCAACTGGATGGACCAGTAGTAGTGTGTAATTCAAAAGATCTCTGTTTGGTCTGTGGCATGTGAAGTTTCCCCCATGCAGCCCATCTATTATAACAGTGATGAGGTTCCCTGTCTGAGAGATGCTTTCCCCATTCCTCTCCCAGTAAATTTCCTCTACTCCATATTGCTCTCCACAATGCAGCAATACCGCAAAGCTGGACAGATTTGATACCTCCAAAGCCACAACTATAACATTAAAGCTTATTTATCAGACTCATCATTTGATTTGATAGCACAGTAAATAAATAATGTGTTTTACAACAAGGCATATATTTTTATTCAACAAGGATGCATTAAATTGTTCAAAAGTGACAGTAAAGACATATGTAATGTTACAAAAGATTTATATTTCAAATAAATGATGTTCTTTTAAACTTTCTGTTCATGATAGAATCCAGAAAAAGAAATCCTCTGAAATAAACAGGGAAAAAAAATCATGTGGATTTCTATGTGGAGTTCGCTGTTTTATTTCCTGGTTTAGCTGAGTGGGCATGGCCTTCAAAAGAAGCACAAACCTGAAGGGGTATGTTAATTTTAGCTATTTATGGAAATGCTAGTGCAAATGTCTTCATTTTATCCACCCTTTTTATTGTATTTATTGCATTTTTTAAACTCTTGTTCTTAATTATCTTTTTATGTATTTATTGATGTAGTGAGGCAAGAGTTATCTATGGTAACACAGGAAAACATGCATTTAAGGTGCCATGAGGATATTGTGTGTGTGTGTGTGTGTGTGTGTGTTTGTGTTGTCTTTACTGTTACTTTATTTTAAGTGTCTATATTATAAATGTCTTTACTGTCACTTTTAAGCAATGTGTCCTTGCTGAGTATAATACTAATAAATGGGATTTAAGCAATAGTCACCATTTGGCTTGATTAACCTCAGTGAAGTGCTGCCTGCCATCTGAAGAGCAGCTTGAAGAATAACGAAGACAATCTTGTTCATCTAAAGAAAAAGTAAAAATGGTAATGATATGAACAATTATGTTATAAAATAAAGTAAATTATACAGATTATAGTATTCAACTAACATGAATAAACATTCATATTAAAGTATATATATATATATATATATAGATTGATTGATTGATTGATTTTACAATATTTCATTGTGATAGACACCTTCTCTTAAATCTTACCTTGAGAACTTAATGAGTTTTGGTGACTCTCTCCTCTTCCCTTTCACTGAAGTAGTATTGGACCTGAGCAACATTTATATATGTAATACAGAAGTGTGAATTTCCAGCAAGCAGAAGTATCAAGTTCTAAACAAAGGGATATGGAAACCAATGTGGTGAAGCCAGTTTTCATTTGGGATTTCCATGAGCTATGTAACAGTGCTTGTTATGTGCTAGGGGCTTTAACAGGAGCAATTGTGTATGAGAATGTACAGGTCATCTCTCACAATTAAATAATTTCCTCTGAGTGAAATATGTTAGATTTTTTGTGATTCATGTTTTGAATGCTATGTTTTTTTTTTTTTTGGTTGGTTGGTTTGTTGTTTTTGCACTTTTGTTTTCAGTCACAAATCCCCATATATACACTGCTGTTCGAAGGTTTGGCATCAGTAAGATTTTTAATGTTTTTTGTTTTTTTAAAGAAGTCACTTATGCTCATCAAGGTTACATATATATATATGATCAAAAATGAAAAAAAAAAAACAAAAAAAAACAATGTACTGTGAAATATTTAGCAAATTAAAATAACAGTTTTCTATTTTAATATACTTTCAAACATAATTTATTCCTGTGATAAAAACTGAATTTTCATCAGCCATTACTCCAGTATTCAGTGTCCCATGATCCTTCAGAAATCATTGTAATACACTGATTTATTATCAGTGCAAATCAGCATATTATGTTTCTGAAGGATCATGTGACACTGAAGATTGGAGTAATGGCTGATGAAAATGTAGCTTGAATTATGGAATGCATTATATAAAGTATATTAAATGTTTTATGGAAATAATGAAAAAAAAAACTCCTTAAAAATAAATAAAACGTTTTGATATATGATATTTTGTTAATAAACAATACTGTAACAAAATGAGACAGAAATACTTAAGTGTACAAATGTTTAATCAACTTTTAATTAAAAACACATTCCCTATCATTAAAATATGCAACTGTTTTTTCTCTCTCTTTTCAACTCAATTTTTTTCAATAGGACAAAGCCCTGAATCCATTTAAACGGGAGAGCACTTAGCTCATACTACGGCACTGATGGGGTTTTGAGTCTGGTTCCCTTCAGAAAATTATATATCACTGCTCCTCATCATTTCCTGCCCTACTATGCCTAAGGAAAACATAAAAAAACATTAAATAAAAACATGTATATAGCATAAACTGTTAGAATGTCCACATTCAGCTCCATTCAGAGATTACATCTTCATGTCTTCTCCTTCCATTATATCACTTACTCATACAGTAGCTTCCCCATTCACATGTATACACACAGCTATTACATGATGACCCCCTTATCCCCTTTATATATCCTCAGGATGTGCGAAACAATGCGTAGCACCATGGCAACCTCGCAGAGCTGAATAAATTCTTAAAAGCACCTTGAATTACAAGGAATCAGAACAGTTGCCCCATTCCAATTTTTCACTTTTCTGCAGACAGCTTTACAGGGACTGAGAAAATCAGATTTGTTTGTTGGAGGAAATCAATTGGAATATCTGTCATGACTGAAATCTATCTGCAAAATGTGACAACTACCACCTACACTAAAAGCAAGTTTAACAGCTGATCTACTTGTCTACATGACTAATAAACTTATCCTCTTTTGAAATGAAAGAGTTGAATGAATGCTGTTTAGAGAATTTATGTAATCGAAAATGTATCTTAAAAAAAAACAAAAAAACAGATTAAAGATGCTGGAAAATCTGAAAATCCAAAACTGACATTGTTTTTGTGACATGTAACATATTTTCTTTTAAAAAATCTTTATATATTTTTGGTTACAGAGTTTCTAATAAAAACAAAAAATAATAAAACAGTCCAACAAGTGATTCTCCTGTACCTGAAAGCCAAAAGCAGTTTAAAATGTCCTTTTGGCCCCAATTGTCTCTGTTTTATAATTCAAGTTCTAACAGACACAGGTAGGTCCACACTTCCGGTCTGCCTTGCAGACATATGATCTCATCACAAGAAAAATGGAGAAAAGAATATTAAGCTTATAACTCCATAATCTTAAAAATAGCAAAACATTATTAAGTTTCCTTTGCCAAAACCATACTTTTTGGACCTCTCTTGATCAATTCAGGACTCCGGTTTTCTAGACCTGAGTCTCAACTCCCTTAGAAAAGCTATAAGTCAAAGGCAGTGAGTGTTTGAAGGGAAAAGCCTCTAGAGGTTCACTCTAGACTCAAGTGGCTAATCCAAAAATAGAGAAATCTTCTGAAAAATATTGTGGCCCATGCACATTGATATCCTCTCACATACACACTTGGTGTGGTGGTTAATATCCCCAACGAGTCATTAGTTTTCCACAGGAGTGGGGTTCTGCGGCAGTGGTGGGGTTGTGGGAGGCTGGCTGACGATCACCTGGACGACATAGTCTCTGGAGATCTTCAGTTCTTCCAGCTTCATCTTGTCAGTGAGTGGTCGGCCTGAGAAGAACCAGCGCTGGCTGGTGGCCACTACACCCTCCTGGGTCTGCAGACGGCGCTTCATCTGCTGGACATTGTCACTGGTGCGGACGGCCAGGCGTAGATCTCGTCCCGTGGAGAGACGCAGACGCAACTGACACTCCTGGCCTTCACTAGCTGGAGCTTCTGGGACCACAATGGTCTCCAACTCGCTCTTTTCCTCAATCATGTTGACAGGAGGCGAGAGGCAGTAGACAGGCAGCTGGTAGCGGTTCCCCAGCTCATCGTAGCATTCAGTCAGAGCACCTGGAGATGACACAAATGAAGCATTTAAGCCACATTTTCAGTCTCTTTTTGTTGACTTATCTAATGTTTTGATACAGTGTACAATGATATTGTAATATAGCATTTATATATGTCTAATATATGGTGCAATCAAACATTATGATGCAAAATGAGTAAAGATTCTGTACTATTTATTGGTAATGAAATCAGCAATTTTATGGCAATGATTATGTGAACTTTTTTTAAAGATCAGATTTCTTTGCTTATATTGAAGCATAATATGTTCTTTGAATCGTTCTCAAATTGCTGGATAAAATGGATCATTATGGAGTTCAGACAAAGAAAAGAAAAGAAAAGAAAAGAAAAGAAAAGAAAAGAAAAGAAAATCATTAACTTTAAAAGAAAAGAAAAGAAAAGAAAAGAAAAGAAAAGAAAAGAAAAGAAAAGAAAAGAAAAGAAAAGAAAAGAAAAGAAAAGAAAAGAAAAGAAAAGAAAAGAAAAGAAAAGAAAAGAAAACCTGTGATAAAAACTGAATTTTCATCAGCCATTACTCCAGTATTCAGTGTCCCATGATCCTTCAGAAATCATTGTAATACACTGATTTATTATCAGTGCAAATCAGCATATTATGTTTCTGAAGGATCATGTGACACTGAAGATTGGAGTAATGGCTGATGAAAATGTAGCTTGAATTATGGAATGCATTATATAAAGTATATTAAATGAGAAAACTGTCATTTTAAATTTCAATACTATTTCACAATATTACAGTTTATTTTTTTAATGAAATAAATGCAGCCTTTTAAAAAAAAAAAAACATTAAAAATCTTACTGATCCAACACACATATTTATATAGATATGAAAGACATCAATAAGGGGCCTCACATGCTCTTTCTGGTGAAGCTAATTTTGAACATTAATTAGGTCACTGCTGCCAAATGAAAATGTAGAGCGTGTTAATTTGGACATGACTGTAATGTCCAGATATTTAGGTGGTAGTGGCACTTGTGCATTACACCACAGTCACTGTCCTGGTATGAGTTACACATTCTAGGGAAAAATCGTTGAACACGGGAAAGTGAACACCTTATCATCATAGTGTTTAACCACAAACCAAAACTCAGTTACAAAATTAACGGGAATTCCAAGATAACTTAATAGCATTACTATACGACAATGAAAATGCATAACGTGAGAAAGCCACTATTAAACTAAAACCACAAAGCCTGTATGTATTTTATGACATGATTAAATAGGACTAACTAGCTTTAAAATAGATATATGGTGGGATAAATGTGGTGGTAAAAAAAACATAAAGGGTAAACTGCTCAATGTCAGCATGAAGATTTTCACAAATTCACAAATTATGCAGAGTGGTCACAATTACTCTAACAACTATCCATTCAGATCCTTTAAGTCAGTCAAGTCAAGTTTAAGTCAGTAACTGCGTTATAGCAATAAATTACTGAAAGTTAAGTGTCTTTCAGAACCCCAAATAAACAAGCTAGAAGGCAACAGTGGCAAGGAACATAAACCCCATCAAGTGACAGAAATGGAGAAAAAAAAACTTAGGAGAAACTGTTCCAGTTCTCCTCTGGCCTATGTGAACAAACTCAGTTTGATATTGGTAAAACTGTTTCAGCATGACACATTTATAGCTGGGAGTAGGGATTTGGGCTGAGGGCTTGTCCAGACACTAAAATCTTCGCTAAAGATCTGTCCTGAGGTCTTGTGTATTCGCTGAGGTCTTTGCTGAGCATCTGTCCCAAGGGCTCACAACAGTACCCTCAGGATAAGAGTGAGACAGACAGACTAATATAAGCATAGATGCCATTATTCTTACGATGTAACAAGTACCAGTTGCCCTAATAATGCAGTCTAACAATCTCTTAAGGGATTTGAATTATAGAAATGTGGTGTGTTATGTGTATGCTAGGTTAAAGTGATGAGTCTTTAATCCTGATTTAAACTAACAGAGTGTGTCTGTCCCCCAAATAATGCTAGGAAGACTGTTCCAGAGTTTGGGTGCTAAATAGGATAAGGTTCTACTGCAGTAGATTTTTGATATTCTAGGTATTATCAACTGGCCAGAATTTTAAGACGTGAAAAACAATAATGGGATATGAGCTTGCTCAAATACTTACAAGCCAAACCATTCAGGGCTTTATAAGTAATCAGCATAATTTTAAAATGTATACAGTGTTTAATAGGGAGCCAGTGAAGTGTTGAACTGGGCCAATATGATCATACTTCTTGGTTCTAATGAGAACTGTAGCTGTTTCATTTTGGACCAGCTGGAGTTAGTTTATTAAGCCTGCAGGGCAACATCCAGTAATGCATTACAATAATGTAGCCTTGACGTAAAATATGCATCAAACATAAGCAGTATTCTTGTTTATTACAGTAGGCTATATGTGGAGGGTCATCAAATTTTTTATATCAACTATGCATTCAGTTAGTTTTGTGGATTGGTATGCTTCATCGGGTATCATCTGTGTATCAGTAAAAAGTCATATTTATATATATAACTCTGATGAGTCCAGTTTCAGTGCTATACAATGGTCTAAATCCTGACTGGATTTCCTTGCAGATACCATTTCTTTCCAAGAAGTAACATAGTTCTGAAGACACCACTCTTTCTAGTATTTTCGATAGAAAAGGAATTGGTCCGTAGTTAACTAATTCTCTAGAATCAAGCTGTGGTTGGAGGCCATGCTTGAAAAGTGACATCCTAATAGTTTATCTGACCATTACATATCATAAATGTATCCACAGTTTCAGTAACACTTTATTTTGATAGTCCACTTTAGACATTCTACTAACAGTAAGTAACAGTAAGTAAAGAGTAACCACAGTTTCTTCTCAAAACACTGGTTAATATCTATTGTACCTATATAACTTTTATTTTTGTGTATCTTGTGTATATAAAGCATATATTTAACTTGTGAGTTAGACCTGAGGTTCACACAAAAGTGATGTGGATATTTTGTATTACCAATAATTCATTAATATAAATATAAAAAACCTATTATAATATTAAGACACATATTAAATATAAATATTTTAATTATTAATAAATATATATTAAAATGATTTTTGCTTAAAATATTTGCTAAGAAAAGAAAAGAAAAGAAAAGAAAAGAAAAGAAAATCATTAACTTTCTATTTTATTTTATGATGGGGATATGGTTATCAATTGTTGTGCATCCTTCACAATCAACACCTTTAAGTATTTACAAAAGCATCTCTATAAAACAACAGTGTGTTACAAACAACAAACAACAGTGTCTTCCACAGTATGCACGCCAAAGGTATGAATGGAATGGAATAGAATAGATATTTATGTCAACAGTTTAGCAGCCTCCTCCAGGTTAGCATATTTATAGAAAACAGACACATAATAGAAAAGATAAAATCAGAAAAGATCAGTAAAGATAATCACATTAATGTATTATATAGAAATGATATCTCCCAAGTAAAACAATAAAATTCTGTCAGTCAGTCAGTCATATTTATTTATAAAGCACATTTAAAAACAGTAAGTAAAGAGTAACCACAGTTTCTTCTCAAAACACTGGTTAATATCTATTGTACCTATATAACTTTTATTTTTGTGTATCTTGTGTATATAAAGCATATATTTAACTTGTGAGTTAGACCTGAGGTTCACACAAAAGTGATGTGGATATTTTGTATTACCAATAATTCATTAATATAAATATAAAAAACCTATTATAATATTAAGACACATATTAAATATAAATATTTTAATTATTAATAAATATATATTAAAATGATTTTTGCTTAAAATATTTGCTGTATTTCATTAAAATAAATGTATCCACACACAATTTTTTTTAGAAATTACATACATATATATAGCTGTTGGCCAAAGTGCTGTACAAAGTTTAAGCAAATACCAAATTGTATGAAGGTGAAATATTTTGTGTATGTATGTATGTATGTGTGTGTGTATGTATATGTATATATATATATATATGTACGTATGTATTAGGGCTGGGCGATATAGCTAACAAATTTATCAACGATATAATGTTTCATATCATTCGGTATCGATAATTATTGACATTTTTTAATACCATTTTTAAAACAAAGAGCAATAGAATTTTTTTTGTTAACCACTGTATTTTTAAATTAACCCAGTTTGTTGAGACAAACAACAAATATTTTTTTGTTTTAAGTCAAACACACAATAAAAATTAAACAAATATCTTATTTCTAATGTTTTATATGCCGATTAAATAGGTCTTAAGGAAACTTTTGGCTTGTCTCCCGAGGCCACAGGAGGGCACCATTCACTCCGATTGTATTTAAAAACATGAGACGCAGTGAAAAGGAATAAACTTCCACAAATTCGCGACGTTTAAGTTTAAACTGTTTTAACTTTGCATGGCTACATCTCTTGTGTGAGACGAGAGTGTAGTAGTCATATTTGTCCGTCTAAAAAATGCGCTGAAAATGTGTTCTGTGTGAATGGTTCAGTTTCAGTTTTAACCTAATCAAGATCTTCTCCGCATTGAGCTTCTATATTTCTCTAATATTTTGAATGCATAATGCAGCAACCGCGCGTCTCGTGGGCTAGACTAACAAAACATTAAAATGCAACTACGTCACTTACATCATCATCACCGCATCTCGTGCTCCACTGATGACGTTCCCTGATGCACTCCTAACATTTGATTGTACTATTTTTGCATTCAAATGCAAATGTTTATTTTAAATTCGACTATATATTCATTTTTTTTATTCACATACTCATCACAGGCAGTCACAGCACTAATTTCAGCATGTGTTCATGTTTGTGTGTGCTGTCTGCGTCACGTGCACTATATCGACATTTTTTAATATCGTTATCGAAGAAGGTGTACCGTCGATAAATATCGATACCGTTTTATCGCCCAGGCCTAGATATTAGATGTCATCAGCACCTTTAGAAATATATTTACTGAGAAAAATGTTCAATACTTATTTTACCCGCTGTATGTATATATATATATAT